TGGCCTGATCGAGAGACATAAGAAACAAAAATAAACAAGATATAATAGAAGTAATCAAAGATTATGAGAGAGCGTTAGATGCCCCAAATTCAAATTACTTTTCATTTCGTTTATATTCATGCCTGAAATTGACAAATTTTAACGTCTGCTTTACTGCATTTGTGGCGTTCGCGTTGTTGATATCCGCGCTTTTGCTGTTATAAATAAGGATATTTAAGTCTAGCGTGAATTAATTTCCCGTGGAATTTCCTTGTTTTACTGCTAGCAAGTAGAGCGATTTTTATATGCTGCAACTGTTTCGACTGTGGTCTCAGGTCTGTTGCGTGACAGCTTCAATGTCCGTAAAATTTATAACTTATGGTTTGATGCTACTCTGGTTTACAGATTTAATGAGTGTAACCGAAGAAGTTACAATTCATAGACCTAACGTTGCGACACTCCTGTCTAGTTTGAATAGCCACAACGTTAAAGCTGCTCAAAAACCTTTTCAGACTTTGGGGCATATTTTCGCCAAACCCAAGGATCCTGACGATGGCGGTTTGCTTCCTGACGGCTATTTACACCTCGTCAGAAAAAGAGGCCGCTAATTAGTGATCATATAAAACGACCTCTTGTTGCATCGTTTAGATCACCTTTGATGAAGGCACTAGACAGGAGTGTCGAAACGTTGGGTCTATGGATACTAACGTCTTCGGTTACATTCATTAAATCTGTAAACCAGAGTAGCATCAAACCATGTCTGATTGTCCACCTGAACTTTAATATATTTTAACAGATAAGCTATTTACATTAAACTTCCATGATGCAAAACATTTTCCTTTTTACCGATAATATTCACAGTGTGGCAAAAACTTTTTTCGGTAGAATTATATATTTTTCTATGGGCAGTGTTCCAAGCTTGTTATATCTTAGTAACAAGATATATTAAAAGTAATCAAAGATTATTGGAAAGCGTTCAGACCACAGGCAACCGCAAACGAACGCAATAATAGGCTAAGCTCCAAAACTCTCGTTTGGTACTAACCCCATCGTTAACAGCTTGATTAAGGGCAGAAAGTCCCACCATTTCCAGACTGCATCTCTGGTGCAAAAATTCCTGGAGTAGTTTGGAGGATGTCAGTCGCTCGCAATAACCAAGGTTAATACCGATCAGTCCCATCGGAATGAATTCGCAGAATTCTTCTCCACTTATATTCATACAATAAATGTCCAGGCTTATCAGTCGGACCATATCCTTCAACGGTGCAAAGTTACTTACTTTGACACAGAATCTAAGGCTGAGAAATTTCACGTGGGTGATGTTAGACCATATGCCTTTGTTAGGAATGTAGGTCATCCTCCTCTCGAAACATCGGAAGTCAAGAAGCGTAAATGACCTTTTAGTAGAAACCAAAATTTTGTAAAATGTTCTGCATATTAAAGACACATTTACAAGATCCGAAGTTGAAAGAATGTTGAATAAAGCGAGAAGGCAAACCTGGGGCAAGCGGTCAATTGTCGACATCTTTACCTACAATGTTGAAACTTTGCTGATTAAACCTGTATTAGCGGTCGGAATGACTGTATGGCCGATTATTTAAGGTTGACTGCTTAGGTCAAGACAAAAGAAAAAAGCCCTTATGACCCCTTCAAGGTTGACCGCGGTGACCACTTGATAAAGGTAACACAAAGAATTATTAGAGGAAATCAAAACTTAATTCGACAGTTGACCGTTTTATAAAGGGTGACTGCCGCTTAAAAGACATAGGTCGCACTTGGGCAAAGGTTCTATCTTAGGGAATTTTCAGTTTCGCTTTCAAGTAAGAGTTATCATAATTCAAATTCTGCGACCTACTTTTCCTTGAGTGACATAGCGTTAGGATTTATATCTTTTGAACGAAAAACAAATTAGCTAAATGCCGACACTTTCGCTGAAAAGGGTTTCCTGTAACCCAAGGCGAAATTCCAGGATTGTGCGATACACTCCTGTACGCAAAGTATCCGACCAAAGCTGGCAAAATTCAAGACAACCTAATCAGAGAAACTCTGGTTTCAGTGACTGTTGAGGTATCAAAGCCACTTCAAATATTTTTCGTCGTCAGGGGGTTTAAAATATACGTCTTCGGAATTCTGATTTCCTTTTAGCACATTAAGCTTACTTTAAACCGAAATTTTTGAGCTGATTAGTTTTTTCTTGCATGGGAAAATAACCGAGATTGCATCGGTCTTCTGTTACTCTTTCGATGATTGTGAATACCGGGACCCTTTGTCACTTCACTTCTCTTTTTTTTACTCAACAAAGTTTCCAACCTCTTTTCATTGCCACACCAAAGCCCTACAGCGTCTCTGATGTTTTTGCCGATTTTCCAATAAACTAGGCAAATTCCTGGATAAATTCCGAAATAGAAAAGTTAGGGTGCCATTTGGAAGTGTCTCCTTGACAGATTTTGACCGCAAAACTTTGCCAAGTGCGATCAATTCGCAGATGTGAGAAAAGTCTTTGTGCCGTTTGCCGACAAATAGTACTTTGTTCTGCTAACTGAAAAACTCACTCGCGATCACGATTGGTCCATAATCTAAAACCAACTTCGCCGAACAACTGCTGTTCTGCTCGCCTGTTTTTTTTCAGGTAAGAAACATTTTCTATTTAACTTCTATGATCACGCAACGGTGATCGTACCCCATTATACGAAACCTAAAGGTTTTGTAGCTGGAAATCTCTCCCATGGAGAACTTTGTAACAGCCTGGAATACGATACATCGTATTATTACTTTTTATGACAAAACGACTATTGCGAAAACAATTAAGTTCTAGAGGTTATTACTTTTATTCTTAAAATAAGAAAAATAATATTGTAGCTGACTAGTTAAATCGCGAACATTTCAAAACTCATCCTTTGTTGAATACGGTAAAGAGTTTGATCGACGAAAGCACGGCAATCTAAGTTTCAGTTTATTACATTGTCCGCTGTTATCATTAGCCGTTTGAATTTCCACGAGTATAAGCGTTGTTCGGGTATCCTCGCTGATGATATTTCAGATGATTTGCAGGATTCTTGAAAGAAATGAATCAGTGGTAAACAGTCATTCATTTAATGGGCTACAATCTCTGACAAAAGTCTTTGAAACACTTCGAACCCTTCCGGCTTCCTGCCCCTTGTAATGTTGCCTAACACAATCTAAGTGAGACTCCATGTTAGTTTACGGCACTAACGCCGCAAGGTACGAGGGGGAGGTTAGTCCTATCTTGAGAACTGTGTTCCAACACTTTTTCACAGATTGTGGATTCTCTATCTCCGGATGCTTAAGGGCCTATTTACACGGTACGTCAGAGTTTCTAGCATGCGACAAGCTTACGACAGGCCAACTACAGACTTGTGTCGTGTGAATCAAACCAAAAACTCGCGATCGCTTACGACTTTCACATGCGACACAAAAAATGTCGTAGGCTTTGAAAACATTTTCTAAAACGCTGCGACAATCGTAACCGGATTCGACAGAAGTTACTTAATATATTGTCACAAATTTCTAGGGGAAGGGGAGGAAGGCGAAGTTTTCTTGCGTCAAAATGTCGACAATACACAATCGAGCACAACTTTTTAAAATAGTCGTCATGAGGACCATTTTATGACGAATGCCAGACAAAATGGCATTTGAAATTGTACGCGATTTTTGCAGGGAGTAAATAAAATGTAAGGTTACTTCTCACCCTCAGAGACTGAAAAGATCGATTTTTCTTTTACTAGACTAAACTGAATTCAAACTTTCACCCTAACGTTTCCTTTAACAAATCTTTAAAAGCACCCGAGTTATTAAGAAAAACGCATTTTAAAAAAAAAAGGTGATAAATCAGGAAGGTGTCATAATCTTGGACCCTGGGGAAATTTTCGCGGCAACCGCTCATGTTGAGGTTCGATTTTAATGTTATTTCCATATTTTGTTTACAGCGCGCATTTGACAAAATTCACACATGGAAAGCTCTTTGTTTATGGAAATATATTTGATTTCGTGAAAGCGACCATGGCCAGAAATCGAGGACAACATGGCCCCTAAGCATGCGCACTCCTAGCAATTTGTGGACTTTAAATATGGCAGCTTCATAAAAGCTTTGTATGAGAGAAGTAAGAAATCCATTTGTAATTAAATCGTACATGTGAAAAGTCAAGTTCCACACATCTAAAACATGATAAAACACCCCTAAACATACCTCACGCAAAGTCGCTCGCAGTAACGACGTGCCAAAATTCGGCAGCAGTGGACCATCTTTTGGGCTTTTCGTGGCGACTTAGCGGTCTTAAATTGGTAATTGATTACATACTTTCATTCCCAACAAGTTTGCCGTACGTGTCCATGAACCAACTCCACACATCTTAACTTCCTCTACGAAGGTTGCTCCTCAATTCCACAGCTATTTGAAAGCTCGTAAGTTCTCCAACATTCGGCGAAATAGATCTGAATAATGCGGAAATTCAAGTTTCGAATGAGAGCATCTCGCTGAGAAAATTTGGCTGCAAAGCGGTGCAAACATGTGTCTTAATCATGACAAGAAAACCTCCGAAATCGGTGTCAACAAACCGCCATTTTGTGAAGCTTTAATAGGCAATTACCGCTGTTTAAGAGCCACTGAAGGCTCCAGAAACGTGATAAAATGCAAATTTTTTGCTGTTTATGGCCTTCGCACAATTCCTGTAGTGTGAAATTAAGTCTCAGAACATTGATTTGGCTTGGAACTAATTCGTTTATTAGTAGACGTAAAATTTAAAATTATAGAATGTCTGACAGACCTCCACTGGAATCCTTTTTTAAAATGGAAATTGAGCATCGAAAGCCCCTCTTTAAATTATGCTGCAAAGGCAGTCACAAAAAATGTCATTGTGGCAGTGGATATTCCCTATCCATTGATAAAGGCTTCGCATGAATTCCTAGGGTTGCAGAAGAAGGTTAGAAAGACAGCTGCTGTGGCAAGTCAGCCTAATCAGTCAGCATCAACTAGCAGTGATCTAAGTCCTGCAGCAGTCCAGGAATACACCTATGTTGACCTTTTTGAGTATTGTATTCCTCATCATACCTTTGCCATAACTGCTGATGAGCAAATACGAAAAGAAGTAAACAATACCCTTGCAAAAATTGCTGGAATGGTCCAGAATTTATATGCAAAGGCCAAAGGAGGTAGCAAGAGAGAGGAACTTAACTCAAAAGTGAGAAGATTCCACATTTTTGAAGGACAAACACTTTCAGTAACTTGCTTGAGGGAAGAAACTGAGGCTATTAGAGATGAACTGGAGGAGTGGAAGCAGAATTACCAGCATCTTGAAGCAGAGAGTAAACAGCTATTTGCAGAAATGTATTTAGCCATTCAAGAGAAGGAACAAAGTTTGTCTAACCTTCAGTCAAAGAATGAAGAACTCCAACATTACTTCGAGAAAATTGAAAATTCAGACAAAACTTATGTGGGGAAAGATATATCAGAGGTGAAGAAGAAGTCTCGCACTTTAAAGGAATTTATGTGTAGAGCCAAAACTGCTTTGTGGTTTGCAAAGTCATTTGGACTGGAACTAGAGTCAATGACTATGAATGAGCAAAAGACTGGCATCAGTCACACAGTAATGGCTGAAGACCAGATGTCAAATTACAATGGGAACTCAAATGCATTTGACTCACTGTCTGAAGAGGAGAAGTCCAAAGTAGAAAAGGTGCTATTTTTATTAGATAAATTTTGTGTTGGAGACAACTTTTTTATCATGAGCTTACAATGGTAGTTGATGGCTTGCCAAAGTCATACCTTGTAAAAAGCAAAGGAGAAGTCAGCTGAATGACATCTGTCATATCACCTCCACCCCGGTGAGACGGAAGGGGCACAGACATCATTCACTGACCTTCTGAGAGACAGGGTTCAAGACTATGTGGCAAGCCATCCACATGTGGATCATGTACAAATCAAAATTTCAGGGGATGGGGCGAGAATGACCAGAAATTCTAGTTTCATACTTATGAGTTTTGCCCTACTCCATTCAGATGATGAAGTTATGGCAGCAAAAGGTAACCACACCATAGCTGTTGTAAAGGGTAAAGAACACTACAATACCTTAAGGCAGTCATTTGAAGATGTCTTCAAGGACATCAATTCTCTTATAAGTAAGAAGAAAATAGAAGTGGGTGGCAAATCAATTAATTTGGAATTTTTCCTAGGGGGCGATTACAAATTCATTTTACTTGTGATGGGTTTGAAGGGTGCTACCTCACACTATGCATGTGTATGGTGCAAAATACACAAAGACATGAGGTGGGACACAAGCTTCAATTTAGACCATTATCAATCTCCAGATCTAAGGAGAACTCTTACAGAGATGTTTGAACTAGTAAAGAAAAAGAAACAAAATGACAAATATTGCTGTGAACATGAGCCTCTACTTCATATAGAGCTCGATCATGTAGTGTTGGATGAACTGCACCTTCTATTAAGGATTTCAGATGTTCTCATAGAAAATTTGGTTCGGGATGCCTTAGACTGGGACAGAAGCAAAAACTGGGACAAGAGGAAATGTCAACAAAAAAAATGAACACCTAAAAATTTGCAGGCAGCAATTCGATCATGTGGGGTCTCCTTTGACATATGGGAAAAAACAAATGCTGATGGGAAAGGGTCTGGGCAATACGATTTTACTAGCCTCTTGGGGTCAGACAAGAAAAAATTGCTTAATGAACTTCCAACCAAACTCAATGGGATTATTCAGCCAGATACAGTTGAAGTAGTAAAAACTGTATGGGAAAAGTTTAGGGAAATATATAGCACTGTAACCTGCAGGAATCCCTCCACAGAAATGATAAATGACTACTTCTGGAAAGCAAAGGAATGGGTGAATCTGTTTACATCACTAGGAGAAAAAAAGGCATGGCTATAAAAGAGCTAATGTAACCCCATACATGCATGCTATGGTCTACCACATTCCCATATTTCTGCAAAACTATAGAACTATCAAACTGTTTACAGGGCAAGGAGTTGAAAAAAACAATGATATGGCCAGGGCTATAGTTCACAAAAAATCTAACAAATGGGATGCTCCTGCTGACATTCTTAAGCTTGAGTCCAGACAATGGAATCTACGCGACAGTGAGCGTGCAAAGAGAACCTACAGTAAAAGGAAAAGTTCCTATTGGGAACATGATCTCAGGGAAAACAGGAAGAGCAAAAGACTACGAGAGAAGAAAAAATTAATAATGCCACCTGTGAATTGTAGTAGCATATCTTGTATATAGGTCAGAGATTTATTAATGGTAGGATTGACATGATAGTAAAACATTGTCATTTATTCTTAAGGTACAGGTATTTACAATTATATTGAGACAGAAAGAGTATAAAAACTGATTTGTATCAGAATTATATATACTGATATTGTACACAAAACCATTTACACATATATAAATAAACTAATTTGCAGAAACACGCAATGGCTTTTTCTTACAATTAATGCTTAGTTTTTCAATAAAATACCTAGGCGATGATATTATTGCTTTTTCCTTGCTCACAGTATGGTTTTTAGGGCTTCTTGACATAAATAGCCGCACTTTTATAGGAAATTCAACTAGTGTTCCATCCCCCAAGCTATCTAAAAGTCTGTCCCAATCAATTGGAAGGGAGCAGTTGGAAAAATCCTGTTTTTCCAACAGTACATTTCAAAGTCTTGGCTTTTTTTTCCCCTTTCCCTGAAAAGATACTGGAAAACATCATGCCTGAATGGAATGATTGTTGGAGATAAACTCTTTGAGGCAAGGTTTTCCAAAATTGCAGCATGCAAGGCATCCACACTTGAACTAATTAACTCCTGGGTAGGCTTTGGGTTTAAATATGCTCTAAAAAGGGAAAAAATCAATAAAGACAATTTATTTTTGGTCAGATAGAGATAGATACCTGTACAGTTGAAAAATGTACTTGAATTTTATATACAAAAATGCCAAAGATTAACCATCAAACAGGGAAATTGAATCACTAAATATTGCCTATGACAATAAGACAACAATCGGTTTATTTAAAAAATTAGAATTTTCAAAATATTTGCTTTCACGGGTTTTAAGATTGTAACATCGGAACTTGTGACTAAATTATTTGATCAAATCGTAGAATCTCAGAAATGCTACTGTCAAGTTCCATATTAATGCCCAATGAGAGAACTTATCTTAATCAAAACACCGTTCTCACTTCAGTGCCAACGAATTAAGGTTTTCTTCTGGTTCCCAAGTGTTGGAGAGGGAGCCGTAGCCCTTCCACTTCACAAGATATTCAACCTAAGGCGTAATTGAGATATATTTTAGCCTGATTATTGACTGACTCCATTTGAGTACATCAGATCGGACAAACAAAACGAAGCAACTTACCTTGCCTTTGCGGTTTCTCTTTGAAATCACACGTTCCACCTCATAATATGGTCCCTTGGCTGATGATTTCAGCCTCTTTTGATCATTAAAAAAATCGGCAGTGCTCAAATTATTCAATTCGCGGTAAAAGGAACACGTCTTCTTAGCCGCCATTTTTAGATCGAGGCAACCTTAGCAGCTATTCAACATTCGCATAAAATGAGCCTACGGTCGGAACCGCTGGCTGTCCTTGATTTCTGGCCATGTGGTAATGGCGGAGCTCCACGCTGGCGTCCAGATTTCGATCTAAGAAGTCGCCGTCAAACTAAAATTGGTAAAATTTCCGCACAGCCCCATACTATCGTAAAGCAAATCTGTTTTCCCCAACATGATCTCGAGACCGAAATAACGATTATCGTTATTTCTAAATTGGCACCAAATTTATGGATATAGTAATTTCGTGGCACTCTTTACCAATGCTCTTTACACGTGTTAAATAAAGAGAAGGACTCGGTTCCACTGTCTTACAACATTCAAGATGGCGGAGGAAAGGGGTAAATGTGCGTTCAGTTGTAATGGGTTATCTTGTGAAGTCTTAACTTCATTCGCTACCGTAACTCTTATTTCGCTAATTTAGAATCAGTCTTTTCCTCGACCCTTTGTAAGCTGTAGTCTCATTAAGAATTAAACATTATCGTTTGTCTCACGATGTTGTCACATATGATGTGAATCGCGACGTTTCGACTGCATACTACTTGTCTTCATCAGTCTTACTCTCGTCTAATTGTTTATAGGGGTATACCGAAAACGAAAGCTGCCCTCGATGTCCGAGCTTCTTAGTAAAGGAAAAGGATTGTTGGGTTTGTCAAAGAATAAAGAGCGGAAAGCTCGGCAGTATGAATATGGTAGTGACCCCGTTTCAGGACTTCGTAATAATAAGGGAACATACTCTGGTCAGTCGAAAAGAAGACGAAAAGATACGAATTCTATCCTTGAAACCTCAGTTCATCATGAACGTGATGGTAAGCGTATTTTCTGGGGAATCATCATATTAGCTTTCATTAATGAACATGCTACATCAACTTTTCCTCAGCTTGTTAGCTCTGAGTCGATCCCGTTTCTTCTTTATCTAAAGACCTTTCAGAGAATGCGAGCGCAAGTTATGGACATGAAAATGCGGATCAAACTACGTGCGCGTCCGGTACAGTAGGAGGTTTGTAATCATAAATATCAAGGTTGATGTTAATGTGCGCTTCTGTTATGTTCTCTGTGGTGGAGTTATTTGTGGAGTAATTCAAGTAACCTTTTAACCCCTTAGAGTGAGTAGCATCTAATTTCTCCCCACAATATCACCTCCAAATCACACATTAAGGTAATGAGAATAAAGGAAATGGTCACCAACTAGAGAAGCTCTGTATTATGAAACAAATTCTCTTCATTAGCACCTCAGGGAATGTATAGGGAGCAGTATGGAGAATATGCATACCGATGATACATAGGTCAGCGGTCAGCGATGGCGGTCGGTCAACTAATTTTTAGCTCCGTTCTTATGTTCACTTTCCACGTGTTTTTACTGTTCAGCTGCTTGAACAATCTAAGCCACTACTCTAATTGGCGGTTTTCCTCAATTGGGCATGGATTTGACACACCGGGAAGCACCCCAGAACCTTCCTCGATGCCTTATCTCGATCCTAGTAGTTTTTGCCGAATCCGCCATTTTGGATTGAAATCATGGTACAAAAGAATGAAGCGAAGGCGGTTTCTCCGAAGACGGCTTCTGTACTCAGCTAACGGAACAGCGTCTTTTAACCCATCTCTCCTGGAAAACAATCTTAGCGGCGACATTCATCCACATCCTGGACCAAACTCTACTTCTAATTCTTCATCTACATCGACGAACACAAATATTAGCTTTCCCTGCAACACGAAGTCAAACATCAGGATTGCTCATTTAAATATCCGCTCCCTGAAGTCCAGGGAACGCTTCACTCTGCTAAAGGATTCCGTTGTCTCAAATAATTTCGACATCTTTACGTTATCAGAGACTTGGCTGGATTCTTCAGTCAACAACGAGAGCATTCATATTCCAGGCTACACTTTGTATAGACAAGACCGTGGCCCGCACAAACCTGGCGGCGGACTATGTGTTTACATTAAGAAAAACTACAAAGTTTCATCACTGGAGAATGTATCCTCAGTTTCTGATAATAACTTTCAGCAATTGTGGCTAAAAGTGCAAAGTCGCTGTTATAAGTCATTCGTCATCTGCACAGTATATCGACCACCGAGTACTCCATTAAATTTTATAGATGATCTTGCCAACAGTCTTATCGAATCCCTCCTGTCAGGTCTTGATGTCATTATATTGGGTGACCTCAATTGCAACCTCCTTCAAGATAACGCAGAATCCCGTGCTTTAAACGATTTTTGCTCTACTTTTAACCTCACCCAATTAATCAATAAACCAACCAGAGCCACGGAGAATGGGGAATCGTTAATCGATGTTGTGATGACCACGAATGAGAAACTAATTGCTTCAAACGACGTCCTTATGTCAACTATTAGCGATCACAATCTTGTCTACATCTCGCTGAAGTTAAAAAGCCAAGGATCAAGCCCTGTTACGTCACTATTAGAAGCTATACTAATTACAGCGCCGACAATTTCCTACGTGATTTGTCATTTGCGCCTTTTCACATAATAAGCCTATTTGACGATTTCAACGATCAAGTTGATGTATTCAACGAACTGTTCTTGGAAGTACTAAGTCAACATGCTCCAGTCAAGAGGGTTAAAATTAGATCTAAACCTAACCCGTTTATAACACCAGAAATTCGTCAACTAATGAGAACGCGCGACCAATGGCGCAAACTTGCAGGAAAAACAAATGACCCCTTCCACTGGAACGGATACAGATTTTTTCGTCAAGAAGTGAAAAGGAGATTCGTGTGGCCGAAAAAGTTCACGTCAGGACTCAGATCCTGGATAGCAATGGAAACCCTAATTCAATTTGGAAAATCATTAACCGGTGTCTACCACGTAAACAACAAGATAGTTTTATGGCTTCTGAGGATCCCACTGGGTTAGCTAACGAATTAAATGATTTCTTCATCTCCGTCGGCAGTATTAC